TTTTTCCCCGCATTCCAACCTTAATGGCACAATTGATGTTATTAACACAGAGGAATCTGTAGCTTCTGTGCCATGAAATGCTTGTTTATATGAGCTATGGCCAGAACTCCCATCGAAGCCCCATTTTGTATATAAACATAATTCAGACAGTTCTTTTTTGTTTAAAGAATCAATCACACTGTTTTGCAGCAGTACTAGGCGTTCAACAGTGGGATTAAGAAGCGCCCCTAAATCAAGTTCGACTCAGGATTCACATACTCTCATACTATCGCTTTTTGGATAACATTGTTTTTTTGCTAACTGGACAGCAGTGTACGAGGGAAACCTTTCTGGAGCAGCCTGTTTCACAATATTATATTGATGCCGCGATAGTCCAGCTTCAACCAAAACAGCTAATGCTTCTTCACTACTCAGTTTGTTGGACACCACCGACTTAAGTAAACTTTTTCTGTATTTATCCGCTCTCGTTGGTGAGCAAGAAGCTACATCATGTACTAACTTAGACGCCCCAATATTACCAGATTCCCTTAACTTCACTTGAGTTGCAAAAGCTGGCATTGATAATGATGTGTTGTCTCTCAAATCCTTGGTTTTTTTGTACTTTGTTTTTGGGCCGTATTCTTCGAAAGCAATCTCTTTGCGACTTCGTTTTAGCTGTTTAGTAAAAAAAGAAATAGAAGAGTCTAACCAATTCCGATGGGTTTTAAAGAAACGTTCTTCTTTTCTATGACATCTTGTCCATCGCGTTTTAAATTCGGAGATGAAACGATTCATTGTGGCATTAAAAACAGGAATATCTTCATCTGATGGTCCAGTAAGCTTATTTATTTCTTCCTTTAAATAGTTGAACTAATCTTCAAAATGCTGGAATCCTGAGTTTTGCGTTAAGTTGTATAGATGTTGACGAGTGAACATACGTGTGCATGAACTTATCCCTAACAAAATAGATAAAACATTTGTTAACTTTTGAAGTGGAAATAATTTTCCATTTAGCTTTTCACAATTAAATTGACATTCACAATTAAATTGACATTCACTGGCACAAAACTAACATTGTCTATCGAAAAAAATAAAGTAATAAACCATCACAACAGCGCTGCAACGTCACAAACAAAAAAAAAATTTTAAGTTTGCCTCCGGTGGGATTCGAACATGAGACCTCCGGATTACTAGGCCAGCACGCTACCTTCGTAACCACGACAGGTTGCGATAAAGTTAGATTAAACTGTATTTTAAGTGATTTCATATCTAACGCTTTACGATCTTTACAAATCAGTAATACAACAACGACACAAAACAAATAATAAATATCAATAAGAAAACAAAACAGAAACACAAAACGCCAGCAACACAAAACATGCAAGGAAATTGATCATTTTTGTCCACTGACATTATGAACAAAAATTTGAATTAATCAAAAGAGCCACAAAAGCGCACCTCAATTTTTTGCAGAAACATCGTCTACAATCCGCAAAATTAAAAAAAAAAAATCATAGCGCGATCTGGTCCGATAATTAACTATATGTCCAACTATATACCACAAATATTCACATTTTGGGGACTTTGAACAAAAAAAATTATTTAATATATTAAATCACTTTTTTTGCTGCAATACTTATATCTGAAAAATAGTTCAATACCTGAAGTTTAAGGCTCCATACTCATATTTAGATTTCACTTGAAAATTTTTTAACGAAAAACACTTTGATTAACTTGAAATATCAATTTTACAGCGGGCGCAAGCGAATAGGGAATGAAGNCGCAAGCGAATAGAGAATGAAAGTGTAAATTCAAAAACACAATGCAGCTGCACTATACAACTTAGCGCCGTTATTTTTTCGGTTAGTGATGCAGAATTATGTCTAGTTTCTATGGTTATTAAGTATTCGAGTGTTATTTCAAAATAAATTTTTTAATTAATCTACACTTTTGATACCCAATACCCCAGTGTGCGTCGTTTCCTTTATATACATTGATGATTCTTCCAAATGGCCACTGCAGTACCGGTGTGTTTTCTTCTTTGATGATCACCATGTCACCTACGTTGATGTTGTTGTGTTGTGTCTTCCACTTATTTCGCAGTTGAAGGTCCGATAAATATTCGCGGGACCACCGATTCCAAAACTCGCGTTTGAGGTGAGAAACAAGTTTCCATCTTGTTAATAAATTTGTTTGCTGTGGCCTACACGTTGGATCAACTTGGGCATTAAGGGGTTCTCCTATGAGGAAGTGGCCTGGAGTTAAAGCTGTTAGATCGTTAGGATTGTCGGACATTGGGCTGATTGGTCTGGAATTTAGGATTCCTTCCACCTCGATGATTACCGTGTCCAATTCTTCATACGTTAAGGACGCTGTCGAGGTGCTTCTTATTAGTAGATGCTTAGCTGATTTTACCGCTGCTTCCCATAAACCGCCAAAATGTGGAGTCCTAGGAGGTATAAAATGAAATGTTATTCCCTTTCCGCTGCACTGCTTTACTATTGATTCTCGTGATGAATTTCCATAAACAACGTCAGTAAGTTCAGAAAGCTGGTTTTTCGCGCCTACAAAATTGGTTGCGTTGTCACAATATAAATTTTGACAATGTCCTCTTCGGCTTATAAATCGTTTTAAAGCACCAATAAATGCATCCGTCGTTAAGTCGCTGACTAATTCCAAATACACTGCCTTTGTGTCAAAACCGCTACATAGGCCTTTTGTGGTTTCTTTCCCCTTATCTTGAAGTGATCCCAAAATGGCCCGCAGAAGTCCACGCCTGAGTTGATGAATGGTCTTGCTGGAGTTACTCTTGTTGAAGGCAAGTTCCCCATAATTTGACTCATTAGTTTTGGCTTAGCTTTGGTGCATCTTACACAGTTGAGCACAATTGATCGTGCCAGCAATTTTCCCGTTATAGGCCAAAATCTTTGCCTTGTGTAAGCTAAGAGCGCTTGAGGTCCACAATGACGGTTTTCTTTATGGATCATTTGTACTAATAATTTGGCGAGTGAATTGTTATGTGGAATTAGCATAGGGTGTTTGGCATCGTATACAAGTTCTGATGCTTGTAGACGCCCTCCAACTCGGATGATACCATTATTGTCCAGAAACGGTGACAGGCTGCGGAAAGAACTGTTTTTGCGAACTTCGTTGTATTTTTTAAGGTGCTGAAGCTCTTCCTCAAAGTCCGATTGCAGCATTGTACGAACGATTACCACAAGTGCTTTTTCCAATTCGTGTACGGTCAAGGGAATGTCTGACTCCCGCGATTGGTTTCTGGCCTGGTTGATAAATCTCAGCATGTAGCCTGTCACTCTTTGTAATGTTTTGAAAGAGCCATTGTGTCGAATGCTATAAAGTACGCTTCCTTCATGTCCAGTGGTTGCAACAGCGACTGATGTCACCCCTTTTCGTTCCATGTTGATACCTTCGTCGATTACTGATAATGCCTTGGAATACTTTGAAGGCCAAGTGCCTTCTTTACCAAGCAAGATTGTTGGCCCATAAAACCACATATTGCAGGTTTCTAGTCTCCCCGGCGGCAGTCCTCGTGATAGAATGTCAGCTGGGTTGTCTTTTGAGCTTATATGCCGCCATTGTTCAGCGATAGTGTGCTCATGAATAACAGCTATACGGCTTGCCACAAATGTTTGATATGATGCTGAGGATGAGTTAATCCATGCCAACACGATTTGTGAATCAGATGCTGCATCGTAGTCAGCTGAAAAATAGAATGAATACCCAAAAATTCTCTTTCTACCGTTACTTTCTGTGGAAATTTGTCTCGCATAAAAATCATGTTTTGCTTTGTTCAATTTGCAGCGAAGTTGAAGTCAGTCAATGAAGTGAAGTACAAGAGTGAGGAAGTACAATTTTAAGCTTAGTTAAATATGCATGTATGTACATACCGATTTTTAAGAAAATCTAAATACCTAAAAAAATACATATGTATGTATAAAAGCTGATTTATAAAAATTTTAATTAATTTTAATCTTTTAAGACTTTTTCTGATTTCAATTTAATATAAATAAGTATGTACTTATCTAGGCATTCTACATTAGTTTCTCTGTAAGGCATTCTTTGTTCGCTTCTCTGGATTCTGTTTATCCATGCGTTCTCCCTTCGTTTGAAGGTAATGTTGCGGGTAAGGGCTTACCTCCAATGACATGCCCATGTTAAAATAAGGCCTTCTTGAAGCGAAAGGGTAAGCGATTCCCATCGCCTAGCTCGTTTCCACTTTCGTTTCTGTGGTAATCGTGTTTTTTGCTGGGTAAGCTAGACGATGTGGCTACATACTTTTGGA